TCGGACTATTAATCCGACCCCTCTATTCGAGACTGCCGCAAAGTTTCCGATTGTGACTTCAGTCACTTGATAGTTTATACGATAATCCATAGTATTCTATTTCACCCGCGATGTATTATATATATATAAATATATATATATATATATAAATATATACGTATATATATACATATATCATTCACTTTTTTATCATCTGTAATACTTGATGATTAATGTGATTTTTGATTCTCATGAATCTTTTTTATGTATAATTAGTCAAAATGATCACTGCAATTAATTTACTCCTCAAATTAGAAAAAATGTATAATATTTTAAGTATTTGCATCATTTACATACAAAGACAATTTGCGTTGATGAGAATCAAAGTTACACATTATCACGCGTCGAAATGTAAGAAAGGGGAACATTGTTTTAGTCATAATTATAATACATCACACGAATTCTGCAATTCCTTTGGCGTTTTCCCGCATGGCTAATATCATCATATGAGTACGATCCTGGTACGAGAACTTTCGAAATTCAAGTTTTTCGAATATATATATATATATATACATCTACAGAGATAGGCACTTATACTTGAATATATAAACAATTCGCATGTCACGAATCGCTCTATTGTATTAAATATTCCCTGTCATTGTAGACCGCGAAACGCATTCGCAAACATCAATCGCGTGCCATTCTCATGTCGGGTCATTAATCGGATAACAAGTCAACGCCGTCGCAACGAGAGAAGGAAGTTTCTAGATTTTAATTTCTGTTGCGCAAAATTTAAGGTCAAATTTTCTTCTATACTGTTTGTTCGATTTTAATTGTAATCCAAAAAGCGATGTTGCTTTCTGGAAAATCAAAGTGGTGTATCGCGCCTTCGGGATCTTTAAATCGGACCATTCTCGAATATTTGCAAATGAATGAATCGAATCCGACTATTTGTCGAATTTTACACGAGAAACAGGGAGAAGAGACGGAGCACATATACATATAAAAATCCATTTATATCCTTTTAAAGAACAAAACATTTTCTGCATTTTTGGCATGTCGAAATCGAGCGGGAATATATTTTGAGATATATACAAAGACTATCATCAACATATTCATGTGCATCATATAAATATCAATCATTCTTATTTTTTTTTTTTTTCTCCGAGAGATCGCCATTGTGTTCTCATTATTTTGCTGGTTTTAAATGCGAACGCGTGTATTGCCGCGCATTGATCTTCTATCTTCTTTTACCTGATTCTTTTTTTTTAGATTGAAATAAAGTAGGCTACACAGATACAAGAGCGAATGTGGCTTATACGTAGAAAGTACCGAGAGCGAGAGACGAATCGCGTGTGACAAAAAAAGGCACGCACGCGTGTCGTTGCGCACGCATTTACACGTACATACGCAATTATATATTTACATATACACTTACTCCAGAGTCACACACAGAAAGAATCGTGAATTAGTTAGATAAGCCACGCCTGAAGCCAGTACAGTCCCACGGCGTGAGAGTGTGCGAAAGCAGGAGAAAGGTGTATTTCGTAAAATATACTTGTGCATATAGAGAGAGAAAGCTAAGCGAAATCGCAAAGAGTGAGAAACAGAAAACGCACGTGTATAGGAGCGTGTGTGTATGCGTGCATGTGCGGGAGAGTATGCGAGAGAATGTACGAATGATTTCGACACGAGCATGCAGTGGGTTTTAGCATAAATGATCTATTGACAAATGTTGTATATTATTACGAATTATAATGACACTATTATAATTAATTAATTAATTAATTAATTATTATACCCTAATAATGTGAATTGAATTTAAACGACAAAAAATACACGAAATGATAAGTAATAGGCGAACAAATTTTTAATTGTTAGCGCATGAAAGCCGAAATTATAATGCCCCACGGGCATCCCTAGGCCGAAACTCGAAAGTAGCATCAAATCGCATCCGCGCGACGTAGTCGAAAACAAAATACATTACACAAAGTACGCGGCGAAGTCGCGCGGAGGCGAGACGGTACGGAACTTGAGATCCTTGCCGGGAGAAAGTGCATCGCCCAGGCCTCGAGCGGCACGATTTGCCCTCCGTATAAGGAAAGGACTGTGATCTTCGTTATAGTAGTCCGATCCGTAACGCGCGGTTCACGACGCTTCGCTGCAAGCAAACAAGATCTCGACATTCCGCGGTATCGCACTAGTCACATTCGCAGGCAAACACAATGTCGTAAAGTTGACCGGCGAACATTTACGGGCTGGCTTTACCGATGATAATTAACTTTTAACCGCGGTATTTTTATCGATTCTTCGCCTTTTTCTAGCTCGAAACTTGTAGAAGGAGATGAAGAACCGCTCGAATCGAAATAATCGGTGGAATCAGTCCTCAGACGTTGATAACAGATTGAATAAGATTTAGCAAACGTCACCGTTGAATATCGTCACGCGTTATTGCGTTAGGTATTTTTTCAAAAGTATATATCATTTATGCGTTAAATTATCTTTCTCTCTCTCTCTCTTTCAGGAGTGCATATTGATTTAAATGCCTATCCGAAGATAAATCCCATCTGTGTTCCGTTCGAATAGTCGGCGATGCACTTCGAAACAGCGTTGAGAATAGCCACGAGATGCGAGACGAGACACGCAAACTCTCGGCCGCATCTTCATTCAGAAGCTATTTTAATTTCAAACAATGGTTCTACGAGTTGGCGCGCTATGTGGAACGTCTCGAGCGATACACCTCGTGAATGTTCATCACCATATGGGGTCATACTTGTACGAGTCAAGTTTTTTAATTTATGCGCAAGAGGAAAGCGGAGGGACAACGGGCTCGGCGGGCTCAGTGAAAGTATCGATCATAATAGAGTGACAGGTCGCACACAAGGCGGATGACCTAGGGTCGTGAATTAATCTGCGAGAAAGCGGCTTTTGGTTTCGAACGCATTTCATTCTTTTCTTTCTTTCTTTGTATTTCTGCGAATGTACAAAACGCGGAATTGCGCATATTTTCTGATACGAAAAAGGATATATAAATGCTGAATCTCTTTCGCTATGGCGATCAGAAGAGATTGCCGGGATAAAATTTAAACGCTTGCCTTTGAAGTCGCGCTTCTCGTTTCCGCGCGAAATGTGCAAAAAGGACGCTCATAAAGGACGACGATTGCGAAAGACAACACGAAATTTATTACGAATAATTAACACAATGGCGCGTATTATTTCTTAATTACTTAACACGATTTTGCGTTAATTATAGTCTTTGTTGCTCAATGCTTTGCGCTCTCGCGAACAATTAAAGGACTAGTGCAATTTCGTTAGTGAATCTTCTGTTTTTACCTAATTCGGATTAAGATCATGTTTAATTCGCACGCTATTGTAATGCAGTTTTGATACATCAATGAATACGACTTACTTGTATCGCGAGTAAAAGTTTCAACACTTTGTATTTTAGAAATTTTTATTCTAAAATTTTCGAATTATATAATTATTCTTTAGTCTTAAACACGTATATTCTTTTATTCAGGAAGACTATAGATTTAGAATCGCAAAATAATTTTGCGAATTTTAACATATAACGAAAATCATAAGATTCTTTACAAGCAAGTAGAAATGGCAATCAAACTAAAAATCATGTATTTAGAATCAATCTTAATTTTTTTGAATGTAAATTACTTTAATTATATTTAACATTATTATGAGATTGATCAGTGTCTATGAAGTCTATTTTTATTGATGTTATCTAGTGTGATTGAAACTTTTATTTTGTAGTTGATGAGATATTGCATTTATACATACCAGAGAAATTGAATAAATCGTGCCGAATTCTTGCCATAAACTGCATTATTAAACGTATTAAAATGATGATCTTTAATTAAATCTTTCGCGATCGTGCAAATCATGTGTGATTCACGAAGCCATCGACTGATAAACAGCAAGCGTTCGATTAGCTTAATTTCTATTCATCAACAAGATTTAGCGCGAATGACATTTGCCGGCCGCGATGTCGTAATTCGCGATTAATATTTGATAGACTGTTAATAAACGAATTGTTCATCTAGCATCCATGAATAGAGTATCGCGTTCATTCAATTGACTCATTCATCCAAACATTAGTACATTCTGTTTGATTAGTCTACATGATAACGATTGGCATTTTGTCGCACAGAAAATGGAAAATTAGAAAAGATAGTAAAGTTATTTGTTAAGTATAACTATTCTAAAGAATTATTTATTTCCTGAAACAAAACGTCTTTAATCTAAATATAATTCGGTATATTCTGACAGGATTAACGTCTGAGAGCATGATTGATCGAATGATATACGCGCGATGCTGCTAATTTCGCGTACGAGATTCTTCGCATGATGGTTTGATTCTGAATTGGAAAGATCTCGAATACATTTTGGTTCAGGAAGAGAGTGTGTCGTATTCAAAAGCGAGCTTTGGATTGAATAGCCGAATGATCACTGCGATCATTATCGCGATCACTTCCTTCTCGTCGACTCGATCGAGCGATTCTTTAAGTCGTTGGATTGATTTTTGCAGTCAAAGTTCCTCATTTAGCTCATTTAGTGATAAAACAATTCCGTTCGAAATATTTAGACTCGTATATCCTCCAATATATTAATTATCTTTATTGATATCCGAGATATTTTAGAAGTTTGCTTTTAATCTGTTAACAGAGAAAAAAAGAATATAAAAATCGAGAAATGTGCAATATATTCAGATCTTATTTATCCCGATAAAAAAAATTTTTTGCTAAGTTTTTAATTAATTATTTGTTTAAGACGGCCGCGTATATTTGGGAAAATTGTTTCTCGATCGTCAATACTGGATATTTATACAATTCGGACTACAGAAATCCTATGATTATTATGCCGTGATCTACGCAGAACTTTACAATTATCTTGGAATCAAATTGCATATCACCGACCGAATCTCAGGAGAAGCTGATTAGTATTACGGAAGCGATGCGGAAAGAGTCGAATATTACGTAACCGCGATCCTAGACCGATTAGCGTCTCATCCTGTTGTCCACCCGATGCTGTTTACCTTAAAGGATGATATTCCAAATAATTGTTGATAAATGGTCAGTCCTGTATATAATGCTAAGGAGGGAAAGAAAAACGCGTGCCATTCGTCGCTGCACGACGAACACAAGTAAAGGCGATAATACATTATCGTTGTTCCAAGTTCAGAGGACTTTCTCAATTTTGTCTTGGCGATTTTTGCAGCTTCACTTCGTCCTCGTATATGTCCGATTATAAATCAAATCATTGAATCGTATGCGATTCTATCTCAAAGTGGACGCTTTTAAAAGGACAATAGTTTTGTCAAATGATTATTACGGTTCCATTATTTTCTTCGATTAAAAAATGTCGATAGAATTAATGTTAATTTTCATTAAAAGATATTACATTGTAGTTAGCTATACGCGATTAACTAAAATTTCCTTTTTTAATATTTAAAGCTGTGTTTAGGAAGGAACATTTAAGAATGAATTAGAAATAATTATATAATCGCGATTTTTCGAACTTTACAAGAGTCTAAAAGACATCGAAATTTTGCAGACGTCCTTTACATGTTGCTTGGTTTCTTTTGATAAGCAACGTAAATACATAAGAAAGAATTGTTTATAAAAACATAAGATCACTCACCACGTTGTCGTCGATTGTTATTCGATATTTTTGTAAATATTGTCCTTTGAATTTGGCACACTGAAAGCTCCGAAAAGCCTCTCTCTGTGATCGATGTGAGAGACACAATCCTGAGATCGGCGGGACGATCAGATCTTTTAACATCGGACATCAGTCTTGAGCGACGATTGCGCACTGTTAGTGTGTAAAATATTAGCGAATTAGGGACGATTTAATTGCGATCAAGGATATTACCTACCTACCTACCTACCTACCCACTTACAAGTGGACATGGGCCAAACTCGGTATATTATATTAATATACGTTTCAAAGTTGGCCCATCGCCATGACCAATGAAGTAATAAGAAAAGAAAAGAAAAAAAAAAGAAAATAAAAACAAAAATAAATTGTCATCTAATTACATTTTTACGCACTCCAAATTTTTATCCTCGTCATTTGTATCATAGCAACCATGTGTTTAAAGAAGGATCCACATTATATGTATGTAATCAAAATTGTAACTGATAAAACGTTAATAAAAAAACGATATCCGAAACTTGCCTGTATATCCCATCGTTGCCGATCTTTTCGCCTGTGCACGCTAATGACCGTTAATATTTTGATTTAATCTGTATATATATATAGTCTTTCGTGTGTGACTTTCGTTAATATTACACTTGCTTCCGCGAGATACTAGCAGCATTGTTAGAAGAAATAGGATTGAAATTGCAAATATATGCGATTAACAAACACTGATCGCTACTGTAACGACTCGTTTGAAAAAACTTAACGCGCCATATCTTGATTTGAGAATATATATAGATGGCATACATGACTTGTCAAAATCTCCCCTAGCGGCTAAATGGGACACTAAAAGCCCCTATCGAATGACAAGTTATCGCACTAGAGAGTATATTGGATTGCGCAATCGACATGTGTGTGAAATAAACGCAAATTATTGATGATGTATAGAGAGTGAACTACGTAATTCTTAGAAAATAGAGCTGCAGCATTTAATATTGTTCTGTCAATTTTTACCCTCTTTAAAAAAAAAAAAAAATGTTTAGAATTGACGTGGCATGTTTTTGAAAATTCAAAATGTAAAAACCGCGATTGATCCTCTCCTCCGCCAGCCTGCTCCGACTCCTCATCCGATATTATAGTGTACGTGACGTAAACTATAGTGTCATATAATGCGTACGTTCATGGTTCATGCCCGCGCAACTCCTCGTCCATGGACAATCGATGGTTATGTATGCGCGGCGGTTATATATGCGAATGATGATGATTTCTTCGCATAATTAATTTAATAGCGATCTATCGAGAGTAACATCGACCTTAGAAAATAATGCGTTTCATGTACGCGTATAACTTGCGTGCGATCTAATCGATAGTGCGGACAAAAAATCAAGACCGACACAAGTGTTACGTATAGTATCATCACGAGTCCGCGGTTATTTTTATAAGAAGATTTCGTATATGTGTAAATGAGAGTGAATAGATTAATTAATCGTGCGGAAAGTGTCTACAACATAACGCAGCATCGAACGATGTACACGTGGAAACTGACCGGTCATGCTTTCAAACGATTTAACACGAGTTGTAATAGTCACAGCAGTAGCAGATTAGCTATCGTTTTGCAGCATTGCGGCCCAAGAACGCAAAATTGCGGCAAATTTGGCAGTTACCGCAAGAGGATAAGTTTATGGTTCCGCGAACAGGGCACGCAGGTGGCCCAAGTTTGCAAAAAACAATTCGAGTTTGTAGCGGCTCAACGAATCAGACGATACATACAGATTTTTCATCTGTATACGAGAATATGGGACGAGGTAGCATTGAGGGAATTCATGCGGTCGTGGAGATTGAGACTCGCCAGAAACACCAGGAATTTTTTGATAAGCGCAACCGGCGTAACCGTGTACGATTGGAATCGCGATAGGATAAGCGATGAAGAAATTAATAGGTGGTTGTAACAAATATGTTTTGTGTTTAGAATGATAAAACATGCGTGTATAATATTTCTAGAATATTTTTCTAATAATACTTTATTTCTTGCAGGTATAATCGTGAGATTGAAGGAATTCATAGATTGCGAGACTCCACAGTAGTCTGTGCCAAATGTCATTTGCGAATTGTCATTGATATTGTACAGTCCAATGTGAAATATTGTAAATGTAATGGAGTTCAATCTTCTGTTGCTTCGAATCAAGATTGTAAGTTTATCAATTATTTAATATTAAGATGTTACATTTCCTATTTATATATATATATATATATATATTGGTATTTAAAAAATATACACACAGTAGATAGTTGGCAGCCTTTCATCGAACGTCAGGATATGGTAATATGGAGGAAAAAAGAGCCTGATTCGGGAGGATTATTTGCATACAAAGTATATGGTTCCTTTTCTGATGTTACTGCCGATGATTTTCTGCAAGTACAAATTGACGTAGATTATAGAAAACAATGGGATCCCACTGCTCAGGAATTAAAAATTATTGAGACTGATCCAAAGTCAGAATCATCCATTAATCATAGTACTGACATTATTCATTGGGAAATGATTTGGCCTGTAAGTCTGATATAATCTATTATCTCTCATTGTGAAATATATGTCTTCTTATTTAATAATTGATTAATTCGTATTGCGTAGAAATTATTTTCTAACAGAGATTACGTATATCAACGACGATGGATTGTGGATAAAGAGAAGGGACTTGTGATTATTGTGAGCCGAGTGACAGAACATCCCAATGTGCCAGAAAAACGAGGAATTTACAGGTATGTTTTAAAAGATTCAAGAGATCATATAGACAGTTATTATATATATTGTGTATGTATGTATGTATATTTGAAACATTGTTAACTTGGTTGATCAATCTTTTTTATTTGTATTTATTAAATGATGGAGAAATTATTTAGTTGAATGATTGAATACACAGGCTATCAAAATTAAATATCAAACTAAACAAATTCCGGATTTTTTATCAATGAATCAATCTAAATCTAAAACATATATGCAACAGAGTCAAGACATATTGGTCGTACATGGTGATAAAGCCTTATACAAATTTCCATGAGCCAGGCATCGAATTTGGTCTTACTTACTATGATGATCCTGGTGTCGCAGTACCATCTGCTGTTACTACGTGGGTAGCATTGAGAGGTCTGTTTCCTTTTTACAAAGTGAATGATAAGATCTTTTTCAATGTATTATGATAATAAATAAATATATATATTTTCTTTTAGGTTTACCAGACTTTCTAGTTCGCATGAGACAGGCCTCAAAGGATTACCAAAAATATAAACTGATGAAACAAAATGCAATTAAATCTGAGAATCATCTTACATTTCCTAAGGAGGACGTTTCCAAAGATCAAATTAAAGTTGATGTAGAAAATAATTTAGACAAAGATAAAAAATCGATGAGGGATTATCAAGATCCACAAGATGATTCTGCTAACAATACTAACAAATTGGATGTGACACACGATGTACAGCGAGAAAATGATATAACGGAAACTGAAAATAAGGATACAAATTCTACATCCAAAGAAGAGCAAGGTTTATTACATTATTTCTATCTTACGAAATTATTTGCATTTTTGGATTTTTGACAATTGGATTTAATGGAGTAACTTTTGACTAATGGATGTTTTAATGTAATTTCATGTGGGGCAAATAATAATCCACTATTGATATAAGAAATAGAGCAGGTTCATAGAACAAGCAATTATTTCATTAACATATATTAGACAAATAGTATATGCTTTTGTGTATAACGATATGAAATTGTGAACATATGACAACCCATCCATTTTCCATTTGATCAGTGATTTTCACCTTTTATAAAAAACAAGAAACAAATCATAAGCAAATAATGAGACTGATTAAGTGTGTCATTGCAATTTTAGTTTATTCATCGAAACTTTGCATCATGTATTGTAAACGGTAATGAATTAGAATTAGAACAAACAGAAGATAATCTGTTTTATGAAAAAATAATGAATTTAGCTGATTTGGTTTGATAATTTATATGGTATATAAACAGATTTTTCTATACAAAGCGATTCAAACTTATTGTATCTTTCTAAACATAGTATAAAACAAATAAGATATATTTGTATATTATTTAACCCATTTATATGCATATCGTCGAGTATAAATTTGCACTAACAAAAATTCCAATTTCTTTTTCAATACGATACTTTTGAAAGAAAGTTGCAATTTTAATAATTAATTTAAAATTTTTGCTATTATTGAATCTTTTTGTATCTCAAGGAATTATATATATCTGATATTTTTAAAATTATCATATATATATACAAGTAATTTCGTCTTCGCAAAATTTATATATATTGTACATGCACACATACAAAATATCTTAATTGTTTTACATTGTATATACATAATATATAGATATTTGCACAGAAAATGTAAATACATATAGAATATAAGAGTATCCACTTATATATTATGCCTGAGAATAAAAAAAAACAAAGAAAATAATTATTATATAAATATTCTTCAAGTATATATAATATACTATATAAGAAATTGTGTCATAGAAAATGCAATTGTAACAATTTTCATTAGAATAATCATTATGTAAATAAATTGTGTTAATTATATAATGTGTTAATTATATAATGTCAATATATCTGAAACGTTTATTTTGTAATGTTCTATTTCTATTAAATATAAAATGTTAAATCATTTTTGATCATTTGTAAATATCAAAGGGCATTATTATTGAAAAAAAGACATGCTATAAAATAGATTTACTGAAAAACAAAAAGTATTTATACATATTTTCATATAAATTATATTTATGCTCATACATATATAAAGAGTGTATTTATAATAGTTTTTAAATCTCTTGTTATGCAATATTTTCATCTACCATTGCATGGGATATAAGAAGATCACCTTCTATATCAAGCTTGAAAGTAATTTCTTCTGGCAAACTCTTTGGTGTAGACAAAAAATCTGAGCAGTCTTCATCGTGACATTTCTGGTACATTTTTTTCTTATTTAAATCTACTATCCAATATATATTATTGCTTTTATGATACCTGCCAATGTTTTCACAGTATCTATAAAACAATGTAGAAAATATGCTCTTTATATTATTTCTTTTATGTAGGAAGATAGACGTGTATATAGAAAAACTAATTAATAACTGTCTGATTATTATTGTACTCTACCTGTTACCATAAATTTCATATCTCAATATGTTGGTTTTATCGAAATATTTAACAATGCGTATCTTGCCGGGATCAACCAGACTACTAACATATCTGTCTATTTCAGGGTATGGTGAGATCTGGTTATTGCCCTCGTGACTGTATTGCATTGGTATCTTTGAGTAAAGTTGAGCTTTTATATCACTCCGATTAAAAAACTCGAGCAGAATTAAATTTTGTTTGTTTGGAAAATACGATATCATGGAATCCAAAAAGATTCCTAACTCCTTTTCTCTGCATTTATTTATTGGATTATGCATACAATCTGCAGAGACTGTTAAATACGACTGTTTTCCCCATTTGGTGGAAAGGTATACTCTAAACTGTCTATTCTTTGTATAAACGCTATTGTCAACAAACAACTTTTTGCCATGGTTTGTCTCCACAAGCATTTCTTTGATATCTGCTTTATTAAATTGATTTAAAATTCCATGCGACTGTGCATCTGAGTGTAGGTAAAGCATGATATCATTGTATATAGTTTTGATAAACTTTCCAACATGTGAGTTATCCTTAAAAGCCATATCCTTTATAGTGAAAATCACATGTCTGCTGAATTTTGTGCTGGATGTAGAGTCCAGTATTAAAAAGTTATTTCTATCACACAACAAGTGATAGTGAGTAAGTAAATATACACGTATAATATCTATTAGTGTCTTGGTCATGCGTGATCCATTGCATAGCGGATTTAATTCGATCAGGTATTCTAAATCCAGATACAACCAACATGGTGAATCTTTTGGTATTACCTGTTAAAAGTTTATAATAATTTTTTGATAACTTTATATAGCAAGAGAGAGAAGCATGTTAAAAATATATCTTGTTTAAAAGTTATATTTCCTGCAAAAAATATAATTCTTTTCATATCAATTTAAAGCGTAATTGTAACTCAGTTACATTTATAATATAGAAGTCTTAAATTAGAACAATTTTTATATAATTATATATTAAAAGATACATGTGAATATGTATGTGCATAGATTCTATAAATTGTACAATGTAATAATACATTGATACAAATGTATCTATGTTATATTATGTATTGATACATTCTTGATAATAATAAAAAAAAAAGTAATGAAAAATAATGTTTATTATGTTCTTTTAAAATCATGCAAATTATGTTGCATATATTTTTCTATCTTCAAATCTAAGAGAAAAATATTTAAATGCTTTAATGATTTAGCATGTATTAAAATAAGCGAAACTATATGTGTTCAGAGGTATTCACCTCGTATGAACATCTTTCTTCTTGCGGTTTTGCCTTGTAGTACCACCAATAGACCTCCGGATGTGCGACGACAAATCTGCGACTACCATCGCTGGGCCGTTGATATGCGAATATACAAAGCATATCTGTTTTAGTGCTATATTCGGCGGCTGCTGTCAAGGCATCGACTTGTCTGTGAAATTCCCGCCAATATTGCGTTGGGCCTAATATATGCGACGGCATAACCTGATATGTTTTCACCCAGCTAACGTTAGACTTGAGTTTGCGTTTCCGCACTTTACCACCGTAAAATTTTTCTGTACTAATTGTATCCATCGTGCTCACTTTACATATGAATGAACAATTGACACGATTTCATTGTCGCTTTGTCGCGATTTTAGAGATGAAAGGTATCTCTCGCAAACATACATGTATCACGTTCGGAACAGCTGATTGTGAGTTAAACCGTTTCCCGCCGATTTTGTGACAGCTGTTACGTGACGTAAGTCACGTTCAATATCAAAGACTGTGATTCCAAATGCAAACACGAAATTAAAAATATAAAACATGTATGAAATTAATTAGATAGGTAAAAAAAATCTAATATATATTCATGAAATGTGTTATAATACAAGACAAAAAATATGTTCATCTTTCTGAGAGATTCATCTGGAAAATAGATTTATTGTTAGAGTTTATATATACATATATGTATATTATAATATGTTTTAGATAGTAAAAATTCTCACTACGTTTCCAAACAAAATACATCACTCAGCTTCTTTCACGAACTACTCACCATCAATTTTATAGAGTGCTTATCTTTTAATGATAGAATTATTTAATGAGATATATTTTTATGCTATGTTATCAAAGCATGATTATTGCGGCAGAGAAATTATTGGTGAGACAGGAATTGGCAAGGTCGCAAAACAGCTGATTTGATCTGGAAAAATCAAAAAATTTTACGAATTACGATTCTAAGAATTTCTAGAATTTTAATTCTGGTATATTCATATATATCTTAGATTTTCAAGATATTGCAATCACACGAAATGTTCCAATCCTGCATACTATATATGTGTATTGGCTAAATAAATGGTAACAGCATAAATATTATTCGAATAAAAAATTAAATCGTGCATCGTTTCATCATCGCGACTGTTCCAAATTTACAGGAAACCGGTTGTACGTGAAAGTGATCCGCTGTCGCATATTCAACTGAATTCGCGCAATAACATCGTGACATGATCGGTACATTTCGATTATCCATTGTATGCAAATCTTTTTTCGGATTTTAACTAGAAATTAGGTGACAAATTACACAAATTTTTGAATTCTAATGAGATATCGCGAATATGATAGGCAAGAGAGATAACACAAATAAAAATTTCAAGAATTGAAATATTAAAAACTTGAACTTTATTCTCTTTTCTCATTTACAGTATAGTGAAAATTACTATCTAAAAATTAATTATTACAACTCATCTCTCAATTTTCACAAATGATTGCTGTACAACTTATAAACACCTAAGGAGAAAATATAATCGTGACATGATCGGTACATTTCGATTATCCATTGTATGCAAATCTTTTTTCGGATTTTAACTAGAAATTAGGTGACACATATTCATTCATCCACGTAATATGTCGCGACGCTTTCTATTAGTATCATTGTATCCTGTTCTTTTGTTACTTATCAATTGTGTACGCACGTGACTTTATTCTCGTATATGAATGTCCTAAATTGATGATATTAATTAATTGAATTACATATAATGTGACAAAAAATCATAAACGTTTATTTTCTTATTAATATAAATTATAATATTAATATAAATATTTATCAAAATAAATTTTTCGAGAGGAATTAAATTACGTGATGACAGTTGTTTACACTGGCACTACGGAAAAGAAAGAATTTGATACATTCCAGCATCAATTTATCATGCTTTTTTTTTAAAGTGGAAACGTAGAAAATCTTGCGCATGTTTCAGACGGAATACGATAACATTGGAAAGCTTGCTGATGCGAGAGAGTTACAATTTTCGTTGTCATGGCAAATCGCGAGAATTAATTATTAATGTATGTACCAATCTTTTTACCAGGCATAGCTAGTGCCGAAGCCGCTAAAAGTGGCGTGCACTACGGGCGAGGCCGTTTCGTACGAGTAAGGGGCAGCGTAAGCCTTGGCGACCACCGGCGCGGCATGAGCGGTGTACGCGAGAGCCGGTGCTAATCCGGCGATCGGGGCTTTAGCTAGAACCGGAGCAGCAGCAACAGGTGCATAGGCGGCCTTCGCGACGTATTGAGTAGCGGCGGGTGCGTACGCGTAAGAGGCCTTGGCGATCAAGGGGGCTGCTGCCGGTGCCGCGTAAGCGGTGTACGCGGCGGTCTTGGCGAACAAGGGGGTTGCTGCCGGTGCCGCATAAGCGGTATACGCGGCGGACGGAGCGGCATAAGCCTTCGTCAGGAGCGGGCTGGCATAAGCCGCTGGCGCGGCGTAGGTTGCCTTGGCGAAGATCGGCGCGGCCGCGGCGTATCCGTAAGCGGAGTCGGCGTATCCGTATGCGCTCTTGGCGAAGACCGCCGGAGCAGGGTGAGCGGCGTACGCGGTCAGGGCCGGTGCGTAAGCGGCTTTGGCGATGACGGGCTGCGCGGCATAAGTCTTGGCGATCACCGGTGTGGCATAGCCGACAGCATGGTGCTCCAGCAGATCGTTGCTCGCGTGGCTGTTGCTCACGCGCACCGACGAGTGCGCGGTGTCCTCGGCCCGGCTGTACGTGGACAACACGTTCTGGCCGCCGTAGCCCTTCTGGGTAGACTCCTGGCTGTAGCCGATGCTGCTGTGATCAGAGGATAATGTGCCGATGTCATAGGACGCTGGACCACCGGCATTTGCCACTGCCACGAGGACGGCTAGTATCACGAACTGTGATAGAAAAAAATATTGTCATCAATAATATATTAATAATAAATGAATATGACAATGTATATAGAAATATTTAGATAATTTTCAGATTCAAAATTTAATAAGTAAATTAATGTGTTTATGTACTCTCTTGGATTTTATAGATTTATAGCTTTTGAGAGTAGAAAAGTGATGTTCTCAATTTTAGGATAATCTCGACTTTACATTTAAAAATTATTCTTATATAGCATATATTCGCAATTTATTTTTTTTACCTAATTTATTAAAATACAAGGAATATAAATTTTGATAAATAATAAGATGTATATAAAACAAATGCTTCGATTATATTTATAACTGGAAATATTTTGATTTGATTAAAAATTTTGCAGAATCTTTTTTGCAGAACGCTATTTATTTCTAATATTTCAAAATTTACGTTCCATGCAATTTCTATTACTTATTATAACGTGCATATGATAAGAAAAAATACTGGTATAAGTTCTCGACAGTATCGTGTATGTCTGCTTACCTTAAATGCCATTTTGCTTGTTTGAAGTAGAATAACTACTGGATTCTGATGTGAAATGGTATCTGCTGGCCACTATTTATATGCGGATGAGATTGTAGGGGGTTCAATCGAATTTTGGGCACGAGCTTGTTCAAAGTGATTGGGCATGACCAATGGGAGAGGGAAAGGTATATGGAACTTCTTTGTGGGAAATGATTAAGAAAGAAACGTACGAAGGTGCAAAGGAGAGGAGGTAGAATAGTCGTTCGAGGAGGAACATGGACAAATTCCGGGCGTGGTCCTCAAGAAATTAAAATCGCGCATCTGATACAGAGCAGCTTGTTAGGAAACATCGAGAGCGCGACAATTGTGACAGTGACAATTACTTTTCATTCTAGTTTCGCTTCTGACGTCCGATTGCTTAACACGCAGAATATTTAAATATCTTTCTTGCATCTGAAAAGATACAAGGACACGTAATTAATTATAATTAATAACATTTCCTTTCGTATAAAAGAAATAGAATTTATAATGACAAGTATAATGTTTCTCACGAGTAACGCGATTTTCATAATAAAAAACGCGATTAGTCATAATATTTTAAGGATGAATGTAATTAGAAAATTGTTATCTTTTTTTTTCATACTTTCATATGTTAATTGTAGATATATACAAATATATAATTATAAAATACTTGCTCTCAAAATTTACTTATTTGATCTACATAGTAAAAGAAAATTAGATGATGCGATTCTCGTATCTTGATCAATTTTATTGTGTAATATAATATGTTTATATAAATTTACCATGATATTGTAGAACTCGCCAAGGACACGCTTTCTCCAAATTCTCGCACTGACATAAGCGCTGTCATATGTGTAACAGTGAGGAGATACGTAACAGTTACTGCTCTCGTTATTAGATATAAAAAAAATGGGCGTGATCGGCCTATATATAGTTTCATAAGTTGAAGGATTAAATTTAATAACGAATTATTTATAGGATTTAATTTCGAATTTTTAACTCAAATCATTATGTATAGCGCGCCCTTTTGAGAGAAATAAAGATTACTTTAGAAAAAAAACATCATAGAGATTAATCAAAGCAATAATCAATTACCCGATTTATAAATTTGTTCCTCATCTCGCCAATTTTAAGATCACAGGCGATAATATTGGTGCAAATATATCGGAATGGATTAAATCAGTAGTAAATGTGATAAAAATATAGGACGATATAACAGATAAAAAAATGGATGATTATTGTATATGTTCGAAACATCGGCTTCGATGTTTATTTTAGAAATTAATTTAAATTATGTTAATTATAATCTCAGACATACATTTTTATCCTGCATTTTATAATTATTTGAATTATTTGTACACAATTTGTGTATATTAAATCAGAATATCTTGTGGAACACGAGATATCTCGATCTTTGTTTCTTTAATATTTATTAAAACTACACTATATTTAATAAAAACTGCTATGCATTTCCAAAAAAAATTTTTTAACAGAATTGTCTTAATGAAATATTAGGATCTTTAGAGACTCAGTTGAAATATTTATAAATAACTAATAAAAAAAGCGAATAAAAAGTTTATACAGTGCACATTTTCGTTGAAGAGCATCGATGCGGCCCTTTGTCATAAAGTTGGTCATCGCTGCTGTAGGTGATGGTGCTAGGTCATGGACAGGCGTACCCCTTCACATAAGTCGTTGAATTTTCTCCTTTGTAAAAGTACGCTTTACGCGGAGATTACGTTCATCTTTGCGTCCGTGACCTAATATCACACCCTAAACCCTTTATTTTTATTTTACGATCGGTAAATATAGCACCGGCAGTTTTTAAACTATCATTATAAAAACACGCAAGTATATAAAAACGTCATGTATTTGAGTCTATGATAATATCTCGGCTGTTAATGTTTGTGATATTTTACTTATTTTATCGTAAGCGCGTACATACAAAGAGTTTACAAAATTTCTTTTTAATAAATTAATAATTTTATTGTAAAAAGTCGTAAATTCATAAGTAACTTATCGTTGAGACAATTTTTTTATTTATAAGATTAATTTAATTAATTTAAATTTAGAGGATATTAAATCGTAACTGTAAAGCAATTGAATATATAGACTAGTATATAATCTGTATGCAAAATATGTAACTATTTTTCCTCATTTCTATATAGTTATTTCAAAATAATTAATAATATTAATATTGCGATTTCCTTAATCATATGAAATTTATATTGTAGGATTGAAATTATTATAAATATAGTAATTTCACATTGAATATTACTTTATAAAAAAATTATCAAAAAAAATGACGACGAGGATGGGATTCGAACCCACGCGTGCAGAGCACATTGGATTAGCAGTCCAACGCCTTAACCACTCGGCCACCTCGTCACGCGTAAGTTCCTGTTCAAAATGTTTATAATAAGGAATAATATATCGCTTTGTCCGCAAATGTATTACTCAGCAACTTTCGCAAATTGCATAAGATTAGCAAAAATAGCCGATTTAAAACATATGTTGGCGCATATTAGTCTCTACAGCAAATATAGCCTGTGTATTAGCAAATCTACAATGCAGTTTATATATGTATATATTTTATTCTGTAAGCATCGAAAGACAATTCTAGATAATAATCGTGATAACTAGTGAATGACGTATATTGTGTGTTGTGTAATGTACTTCTATATATATAAAAAAAATTAATAAAAAAGTTGCCCTTTGAGAGATTTCTAAGTTCATAAATTAAATTACTTAGCATAATTCATCATATAAAATGCCGAGACTATTTTATTAGTTAACATGTAATGCTAGTGAATTTTTAATAAAAATATGAGACTAGTTTAAATACTTTAATTTTGTAAAATACAATATGCCAAGTTATTTTACTGTGCAATTATAATGTAGTTATATTAATGTCTGAATATAATAAATTGAAAATATTTAGGAATGTTTTAAAATATTTATGTATGTAACAAATATTTCGCAATGTGGTCTATATATTGATATGTAGCAATAAGTTGCAATAACGTCACTCTTTACATCAACATCTTACGATACATCTTTATCTTTTATCTTCAATGTGTAATAATTTCTTGCATCAATATCGTAATAAGAGAGCATACAGCAGATAAAAGAATATATATATACAAAAATAAGATTGTCTATATCATATCTACAGTGGATATCGTACTATGGAGTCGCGTCATTTGAAAATATCTGCTTTATCCTGCGCGGTTCTCCTTAATTCATGTCGTTAATTATTCATTACAATGCACTGTCAGCAATATCGTACGCATAGACATAAGAAAACGTAGGATATTTTCTACGCCTATGATCGTATGTTATTGTTGTGTAAGACCTGTCACGCGATTGTGTTGTCTCCCTCCTCTTTTTCTCTGGAAAGTTTCTTTTATTAAACTTTTCTACATTTAACTCTCGAGCAGTAGCAATAATTACCGTTAAATTCGGTTGAGTAATCGTTTATGTATCTCTTTCTCCAGCGTGCGATATAAGAGCTCTTGAAAAGTCGGGCGCTATAGTAAGCTTTACTATAAGGATTGATCATGACAGAAACGTTGGAGTTTACGCCGGTATATGACGATGCCACTACGAAATTCCTGCAGAATGAATTTACAAGACTTAAAGGTAAGAGTTACGAGTATATTTCGCACACATGTATATTCTGATAAGAGATTCTGCTTATTATTATTTTACAACATATCTATGTCTTGTATTAATAATTTCTTACAATCTTTCCGTTTGTTATTCATGCAATATGTGATATATAGATTCAATTCTGCTACGATGACGTGATTACAAGGACTCGTATGATGAGATCGCTTGAATAGTATTTATGCAATTTGATTTTGATATTATCTACAGGATGTTTCAAAATTATCAAGTGTTCTTTCAATTTTTTATGATTAACTCCGCAATTTTTTTTTATATTAATTCTTTCCGCTGATTAGTAAAATCAATATTGCGCTGTTGAGTTATTACTATAATGAAATAGAAGAATTATTTAATAACAAAATATTGTATTTAATATTCGCGCGTGTATTTAATGGAATGTGAAAAAAAAAATAGATCAAATGTGAATAATGTTACATAAAATTCTCGCTGTTATTTTATTCGCTATGTTTTTTATCTCAGGCGAATGTTACGTGGATCACGCGGGCGCAACTTTATATTCGGATACACAGATTAGAAAAGTCGGCGCCGATCTGCATGGCTCTCTCTATGCTAATCCGCATTCTATTGGTATCGGAAGTTCTTCGACACAGGATATTATCGAGCGTATGAGATATCGGTGAGACATCACATAACAATAAAAAAAAAACGTGATAAATTAATTTAAATTATTATTTAGGATTTTGAACCACTTCAATACGACTCCCGATGAATACAGCATTATTTTCACTTCGGGCGCCACAGCGAGTCTAAAGATAATCGCGGAAGGATTTCGTTTCAAGGCGAAAACGACAACTCGGCATAAGGGAAATTTTGTTTACGTGCAAGATAATCATACATCAGTACTCGGGATGCGAGATGTAGTCGCTGCTAGAGATGCCGAAGTCATTTGTCTTGATCATAATCAGGCATTTCGTGTTTTCGGCCAGCATGCAACCTCTCGCGATCCCGATGAAAGTCAGAGCAGCAATTCTCTTTTTGTGTATTCTGCACAATGCAATTTTTCCGGAATGAAATATCCCCTTAAATGGATCAGAGATGCGCATACCGGAGCGCTTTCCATTGTTGTTAGTGAACCATCGACTAGGTGGTATGTTCTACTCGATGCGGCTGGCTTCGTTCCAACGAATAATTTGGATTTATCTATTTTCAAACCAGACTTTGTGTGCGTATCCTTTTATAAAATGTTTGGCTATCCCACTGGAATTGGCGCCTTGCTAGTTAAGAATTCCAGTTCGGACATTTTGGACAAGATTTATTACGGTGGTGGTACCGTGGATGTCGCTCTCAGTTCTGAAATGTTTCACAAAAAACGTCAAGTATTACATCAAAGGTAAATAAAAATCACATTTGCCTATGAAATAAAATAAAATATTTAAAATATTTTAATTTTTGTAGATTCGAAGATGGGACCGTATCGTTTTTATCCATCGTATCATTACAATATGGTTTTGAAATATTTTCAAAGCTTACCATGGATCAAATATCAAGGCATGTTTTCTCTCTCGCCAAAACTTTGCATCATTCCTTGCTAACATTACATCATTATAATGATAAACCAGTTGTAAAACTATACTCTGATTCTGACTATGAAAATCGCAGCACACAAGGAGGTATTGTTACATTTAATCTCATCCGATCCAATGGTGAATATGTAGGATATATGGAAGTCGTAAATATGGCAGCACTATTTAAAATACATCTCAGAACAGGGTGTTTTTGTAATCCTGGTGCATGTCAAAGACTTTTATCCCTTTCTACTAAAGAAATTCTTCAAAACTATGAAGCAGGATATACATGCAGTGGCACTGCAGATTTAATAAATGGAAAACCGACCGGAGCAGTAAGAATCTCCTTTGGATATATGTCTACGATTAAAGATGTTCAGACAGTTTTACTTATGATCACGAGATGTTTCATCGACAAACCGTGTATCAGAAAATTTCCACAATGGTGGGAAGATCATAAAATCAAAGTTAATCAAAAATACAGGCACTTTCATAATTCTAATATTTTAGATTATTCAATTCCATGTATTACAAATACTGAGAAAAATAATACAAACACTAATCTGCGAAATAATTGTCATAATAAAAATGAAAGCAATTGTGTTATAAACCCTGACAGAATAATTACACAAGTAAACAAATGTACTTTGCAACAGTTATTTATCTATCCTATCAAATCATGTGGTGCATATGAGATAATAGATTCATGGAATCTGAATTCAAAGGGTCTAGAATACGATAGAGAATGGATGATAATAACATCATCTGGAACTTGTTTAACGCAAAAACACTATGTGAATTTATGTTTGCTTAAACCTATTATTTTCAAAAAACAGGGGATTATGAAATTAACATATCCAGGTAATGTTTAATTTTGACGAATTTAACACTTTGTAGTATAGTTTGATGTATCATTAATTTAATATAAATCTTTAATATTTTAATAAAACATTTTAAGGAATGCCAACAATTCAAATACCTTTAGAAAATACTTATGAAAAGTCACCAGAACATCCTATATGTCAAAGCAGAGTATGTGAAAGTAGAGTACAAGGTATTGATTGTGGTTTAGAAGTTTCTGAGTGGTTAAGCTTGGCATTGGGCAAACCAAATCTTAGATTAATTCGACAAAGTCATGAGAGACATAAGAAAGGTATAATAAAAATGTAAATGTGTTACTTGTATTAATTGACTAGTATCTTTCCTCTTTACAGGAATAAACAAGACAGAACTATCATTTTCTAGTCAAGCACAGTATTTGGTAATAAATGAAGCAAGCGTGTCGTGGCTTGTTGATAAGGTATCTGATGATACAAATTTCAAAAAAGATACAACTGTGCATAGATTCCGAGGAAACATTATTGTAAAAGGCTGCAATGCTTTTGATGAAATACAATGGAAATATATTCGCATAGGAAATAATAATTTCAAAGTATGAATTAATTAAGTTTTTAATGCCCAAGATATATTGCTACATATATTTAATTATTGCAGGTAAATGGCCCCTGTACAAGATGTCAAATGATATGCATTGATCAAACAACTGGAAAAAAAACTATTGAGCCATTAAGAACGTTAGCGGAAGAATTCCATGGAAAGCTGAGATTTGGAATTTATTTAACCCGATTGGAGAATACACAAGGTATACTTAAAATTGGTGATCATATTTATTATTCCTAAATGAATAAGTATATGAAATAATTTCTAAATGAGTAATTATATATCTAAACTTTATACACACATTGAAATTGAACATAAACAAACTCTAGAAGAATCCCTAAATGTATTTTATCAAATATTAAAAGTAAACCAGTTATAATAGATAAGTAATTAATAGATAAGTTTCTTTTTAAACATAGAAAAAATTGTAAAATAAATTTACTTTGTATACCTGTGATTTGTAATAAAAAGTATTTGTACTGTGTTATTATTATAAATGTATTTATGATAATACACAATTAAGCTGTTCTGGGCAAATTTGTCTCACCGGTTCACCTGCGGATACATCTTTGATCATATCTGCAATTGCAGCAAAGTTGGGAAAGACTCGCATGTCAAGCATTGAATATACCAGTTCATCGTTGACTTGCACTTCAAAAGATCCTAAAGAATAACAGTTGTAAGAATTTTAACAATTTACATTGATATGTCATATTGGCAAACTTGCTTTGCCTTCCTACTGCACCGGTCACAGTAGCATTGGGAGCATTCTTTTTTATTTCCTCTGCCAATAGAAGAAACTGTTTTCTGTAACCACACGAGCCACTGTAAGATTACAGTAATTTATTATATGCAATATATATAGAATATTTATGAATAAATTTATTTATAAAAATTTCAATTAATATAATCTGCCAAAGTTATAAAATAATGATAATTTTTTATGGAAAATGTCGGTAAATACAATAGATAAATTTTGAAATCGTATCTACAGCAGAGAGAATTTAAATTTGTGTTCATTTTATAAACTAACCTAGATCAATAGAAAATCTTGCTAGATAATTATATATTTACCAATATTCAACGTTAACTTTTATGTCTATTTTTTCTGTCATTTTATTAGATTTTATGTTATAAGTAATTCGTTGTACACTCAATTCAGCGTATATCAGCTATTCTTCGTTTGATCAATTTATTTGATCTCGCTAAAAATCATAAACATATAAAATATATATATAGCCCTCGTACACTGAACACGATGAGCGATGGGCGATATCCAATGAGAGCTCTGCTTTTCCGAAAAAGCAGAGCTCTCATTGGATATCGCCCATCGCTCATCACGTCCAGTGTCCAGTGTGCGAGGGTCAATAAACGGAGCATTAGCTACCAATATAGACAAGAGGGGGGAGGGAGGGTTACTAAGCTCGGCTTAGTTATATACTTGTGATTGGTGGATAATGTTCCGAGCCGCGTCGAACAGCCTGAAGCACGTCAAAGTTGAGGGTACATTCTTCCCGCCCTCCCCCCTCATGTTGCGTATCCTTCCTTCATTGCAGAAGCTGCTCGTATCTTATATGTCTGTGATAAAAGTAGCAGCTTATTCGCAGAACAAACATTTTATCCCCGAAAGATGGGCATTTATTTTCTCTCGTCTCGCGCGATTTCGAATTTTTATCGCTACGCTTGTGGTAACCCTGCACTTGTAGGCGCCATTTTTTATCGCGATTCGTTGACAGGCTGCATCGATTTGATACACGCGTAAACACGTCGAATTCGCCGCGAAGACGATAGATTTAAATCGAGTACGTTTGCGGAGTATTATTATCGAGTGATAATCGAACAGTTTCGCCGATTATAATCCAGCGGCGTTTCGCGTTTAGGGGGAGGGCGCGGATCTTTTGAAAGTAGCACACGTAGGCAACAGGTGTCCAACGTTAAATGCACGCGCTTGTCGACACTGCCGTTCGCGACGACGTGCCCGATTACTGGGCACGATAATTTATTCGATCCGCTAAAACGAAATTGTTTATTTCTCTCGCTGACAGAACCGGCAAGTGTTAGATCGAGCTCTTCGCTGGAGGATTGACGAGATTCTTATCGAGATGAATTACGATTACTTGGTGAAGTTCCTGGCGCTCGGAAACTCCGGTGTCGGGAAAACCAGCTTCCTTTACCAATATACCGATGGTACTTATAATTCTCGATTCGTATCCACTGTTGGGATTGATTTCAAGGAAAAACGAGTGGTAAAAAAATTTTTTATATGTATATGTAAATTCATGTGGTAACATTATACGAAGTCTCTGTGTGTTGTGAATAAGCTGCTTGCATATTAAAAACAACACTGCGATAACACACACTTAGAGTGATTAATGTTGCCAAGTAAAGTGTAAGCGTTAAGTGTTACACTTGTGTTATGCGTACATCAAGTACAGCAATGATAAATGATATAAGAATTGCGTATTCTCTATGTTGATATTGTATGGTAAAAGCCATTTATTATTACAGATATATCAAACAGCGAATGGCAGAAGTCAGCGAGTGCATTTGCAGCTTTGGGACACAGCTGGACAGGAACGGTAAGTACATATAGATAAGTTTGTAACTGAGACATGTAGTTTTTAGTAGCATTAAACATTGATCGCTAATCTAGTAGATGCGCATTTGTTGCACTCTTTGGCAAATTGATATTAAATTTTAACAAATATGACACTCGTGCATTTATGTGTCATATTTATCATTATTCAATTATTTATGATAGAGATAATATAAAGATGTATGATACTATGCTGCAATTATATTTTGCATTAATAATATTTAAATGATAATTTAATTATATTACTGAAAAAGCTTGCATATGCCAAAGCGCATGTTACAAAGATCTGAAAAATGTCAAATATATATATATATATATATATAATATAAGCATTATTGATATCCTAATTAATATGTATATGGTGCATTCTGCATGTGCGCAAACAGAGGTTTAAGACTTCCAATCTAATATTCCATACAAGTAGCTTAACATTGTTAATATCCAGGTTCAGAAGTCTAACCACAGCCTTTTACCGGGATTCCATGGGTTTTCTACTAATTTTTGACCTGACCAATGAGTTGTCCTTTCTTGAAGTTAGAAACTGGCTGGAACAGCTTAGGGTATTCATCATTTATTATAGTAAATATTATACGAGATTGGAGGGTTCTGCTTAGCCAAATAATTCTTTGAATCAATTCTTTGTTTGAGTTGATTTTCTTTGTTTTTTTGTAGTCGCCGTGTATAATATTTTAATATTTGTATTGATATGATGCATGAATATAATTACTTTAATTATATTGTTGTTTGATACACGGTTCTGGAAGCATGTGAGTGATTGGCAGGGTGAATTATTGCAGAGTACTAATGTACATGGATCTAAATTTAGACAAATGTACATAAAAGCTATCTCAACTATTTAAAAAGGCGATCATTTATTGAATTTGAATAAAACGCTTGCATGGATTGTGCTAAAATTTATGAAAGAATTGGCATAATCCAATACATATAACTGGAAAAACTAAGTGGAACTATCTTGCATTTATTTGCATCAATTAACAAATATAATATAAATAAATATAAGAACATGAAATTACAAAGATATATAAAACTATATAAGTATTTTTATTAGTATTAATTAGTATTAATATGAATGTAAATCAGGAAAGATCTGTTAAGTACATCATTCTTGCAAAAGAAATGCTCTTCTATATCTTACATATCTTATGAGAAATGCTCTTCTATATCTTGTATATCTATGATACCTTGAAATTTTTACATAATAAGAAATGTTTTAATTACATATTAGTCGATACTATGGTTTGCTATTGCTTAAGCTACCTGATTTAAAAAGCTGATTTAAAAATTAATAGATATTTAATGAAAAAATAACATTAGTAACTATTTAAGAAATTTAATTATTGGATGAAGAAATTTGTTTTTTAATCTGAAACGGTATGTATGCCATTTCAAAATTGGATAATGCAATTGTAAATTTAATTTGCATGAAGTTTTCTTGTAGTCTAGTATGCTTGTCTCGAGATTTTTACGTTTATTGAGTTAACATGATATTTTTATGTATAAATGCGCGCAGACCCACGCATATTGTGATGATCCAGACATAATTCTTTGTGGTAATAAATCCGATCTTGAGGACAAACGGGTCGTCAGCGAACATAAAGCGCGAGATCTTGCCGAAAGGCACGGGTAAGTTAAATCAAAAATAATAAAACGTAAGCATGTAACATAGTTTAAAAAAAAAAAATTATTGATACATTTTTTCCAACTTGTGTTATGTATATACCACATAATATATTTTCATATACATTTGCTCAGTGAAAATATATTCTCTTTTTCAGCTTGGTTTATCTGGAGACGAGTGCCGCGACCGGCCAGAATGTCGAGCGCGCTGTGGAAATATTATTAGACCGCGTAATGCGCAGGATGGAGGCTACGGTGGACAAGTCGTTGTTACCGCATCAAAAAGTTTTAAGATGCCACGAGCGCGATACTCCACCGCCCAGTAGTTCCTGCTATTGCTGACAGTGCCGGTACATGTAGTTATTCAAACTACTATGCCAAAATCAAAGAAAAGAGCATATTATGAAACTGGCACTTTACATTTGCGAAATAAATGTAAATTTTATCATAAACTTTTTCAGTTAGCATGTTCGTTGTGAGTCATCAGAAAATAATTCCACATTAATCACTTATATATGCCATATTTGTAACAAAAATTTCAATTGAGATAAATCTAGAAAATCGTGAAAATTGGCGAAAAAATCGACCAAATTGAAAATTAAATGAGTTGGAGAAAAACTCACTAACAAAATATTGTTTAATTGATAATATTTTGTTTGACAATAATAGACGGTTCAGTATTATGTGAATCTCATTATGAATAAGCAAATATCGTAATAAAATAATATATATAATGAATTATTTTCTGTTATACATTATTCTCCAATTTTGCTTCTTTTATATATTGAATATTGTGCAGAATTAGTTATCAATTTTTTGATAATATCCAGAATCAATTTTTTGGATCGTAATGTATTTTAGGTGCAAGTAATATCAGTTTTAATTTTTCTCGAGTTTATTACTTCATAAAACTTTTTGTTATAGACATTGTTTTTACTTATTATAAATATATTTTTTGCAATGAAAGAAAAAGTGTATTTATCAACAATATTTTTGAATTTTATCTCTTTTTGCCAAAATTGTGAATGAATATATATATGTTTTAATCATGACGATGCAACGAACATGTTAAGAAGCTTCGCGATAAATATATTTCTACAAAATAGCTTATCCAGCATATTTCTAACAGGAGACTATACATATGATCATTGAAGATTTCTTGTTATTCTATATATATATATACTAAATGTCTTCCATCAACGCTTATTATCAAATGAAAACATTCCTTGAATTCAGCAAACCTGCCAATGAACTCTCGATTACTATATTTATACAATAACGTTGAATCTTGTCTTCTACGGACATTGTTTTTTTCGAGACCTCTTTATCGCGTTTCCCTATCCTATAAAATTCTTTTTATACCATTGTTGTCTTCCAATGTTGGTTGTTCTCGAGTGATGATGTTCATCGAATTTAAACGTCATTTAACGAAGAGTACCTTTTATTATCCTATAATAATACTGACCTTTTCTATCACTATTTCATACGCACAAGGTGTTCAATAAGTCAATCTTTTCTTACTTGCCAAAAATGTGATACGCGACTGATGTCGCAACAGAAGTTTTGGAAGTTAAGGTGATTCACTTTTGACTGTGTGTAACGTATTTTTGATGATGTTATTATAATCAATCAGAGTTAATATATTTAATCATAAATGAATAATATATATTAGACGCGAAATATCGAAAGACCATATAATGCGCGTATACCGATAAATTAATCTCTTGTGATATTTATATCATATATTTAATGAAATTATAAATGATTGTATTGTGATTAATCACTAATGCCTCAATTTTACGAAATAAACGCTACCAATGTTAAAAGAAAATTATGTATTTAGTGTATAAGTGTTTATAAATGCATATATGTGTATATATATATATGTATCGATTTTTCCTGGAATCTGAAAAAACTGGATCGTTCGAGGAACGTCTTATATTTAATAGATATTGTTATTAAAAATTTTGCACTTTCATTATGTTGTTATGACTTAGCACTTTTAGTTGCCTTACTTTACGAGATGAGATGCTGAGAGGGTAAATAAATAGGTAAGCTTATAGAATTATGTGTACTCTATGGAGAAGGTATAATCAATCTTAACTGCAATTTACACGAAATTTTAACTTATCTCCCTATCTCGGGATATATTAACACTAAATTGAGCAGGAAAAAAGAATAATTGAAAATTATGAACTTTATACAAGAATGAAAATGCTTTAGCTTTTTTATTAGAGATTATTAAATACTTAAAATTATAATGCTATGGAATTTGTTGACGGTTTATTATCAATAGAAAAATGTTATCGCAATTATAATATGAGATAATTGAAATGTTACCGTGATAAGAACATGAGAATGATTTTAGATCGTACGAATTTATTGACATTATTCTTGATAGAGGTAGAAATGAGCGCGAAGTATACTATCTAAACAAACAAATGGAAACTCTGGAAAGTATCTCCGGTAGCAAGCATTGAAACTTTAATGTTTCATCAATGAGACAAGGAGTTACAGAGTACACTAGAAGAGATTAAAGTTTGGCGAGAAACTTGCTTCATTGCTCGCTTATTAATCTACTACTTACACCATATGGCTTGTTTATGAAGATTGAGGTGTCGATTTTATGTTTATGTTATACGAAAATTGGTACTATATATATTTTGTTTATTTTAATAAAGATTTAATTTACGATATTTTCTAATTTAGAACTTTCTAAATGTTAATCAGAATTCTCAAGAAAATGACAAATTAAAAACAAATTATTTGTGAGAAATTATTATCAGAGAGAGAAATGTATATATGATATTAACCGACTTATTTTTTTTTTATTTATAGCAGACGCTTTACACACTTTGGACTAATAAATATTTTTATAATAAGAATCATTTAAGAGTTGAATAAGTATATATGTCGAACTATTTAAAATTGCAAATTAATCTATCGATTATATTTAAATTATAAACTGCAATTTCTATACAATACATCAAAAAGTTAATATGACTAAACATGATTAAAAGTTCCATGAAGCAAAATTTGTAATAGCAACATTTTGGGGCAGGAGGGTATTAATATCTAATTGTAAGTTAATATCTTTATTATTTATCTTATTAATATCTAAGTTCTTTAAAATTATAATAATATCTAAGTTAATATCTTTAAAATTATACACGTGCAGAAAGTTATGTGTAACATGTAGAGTTATTTTAAGTATAAGTTTCATTTCTCAAAGTATTACACTGAGAAAGATTAATATTAAATGATAAAATTGATAGAAAGAGAACGTGCAAAGATAATTCTTAAAGTAATTTTGAGCAGCATAAAATATAGACGTTGATTGTCTTTCGGAAAGAAAATTAAGAAATTACCGAAGTGCAGATACAAGCCATTGAATATTTATTATATTGAATTATGCAGCTTATCGTTGCAGGTAAAGCTGACGCAAATTTATCTACCAACTGTATTAATGGTAGACTATTTATCGAACCGCGAGCACTTCGTTGCTCGAGCAGTAATCTCCCTTTCTTACTTAGCTCACCACCCTCCCAATTTCTCTCCCTCTCTCTCTCCCTCTGCTTCTCAAGGTGAGAGTAAGTTTCCGTAAAGTTCCAGCGACGGGTGTAACTTCTGACCGGAAGTTTCATCCTGCTATCTACCTGAATTCCCCTCGCTAGCTTGTTCGCCAGAGATGCGACGACTATAGCTATACTCGCTCTGCATGAATTTTCGTCGCACGTACTAGGCAGTCAGTTTCAAAGATGACACGGAGCTGCTTGGTTTCGCAATTTCGCGAGGTTTGTTTTACGCTAGTAAAGTAGAGAGTTGAAACCTACCTATCTCAATGTATATATATGCATATGAGTTTATACCTGTGGTGACAAGTATTTGCTCTTCTTTTTACAAGAATTATATTGATTTAGATCCTACATATACACGCGCGGTCACATTTTCATTGCGTAAACGAATTCATTATCTTGAGTATAGCAATTAATTCCAATTCTAAATAGGGGAATGTAAGAAGCATTGTTTGAGCGATCTGAAATTATTTGTACGTAGCGCATTGTCAAGTTTGCTCGAGTTGTTAAACGCGTTCTTCAAATCGAGGGATATGCTATTAATATTTTTTTTACGTATTGACAGAATTGATCGATGTTTGTTAAATCGATAAGATTAATTGGCATTAGAGAGAGCAGGCGGTGATTCGCATTGAAAGTTGAAAAACGAGTAAAATATGGCGTTATTTATCGAAACTTAGATATTAACAATGTAACAATGATCGAGAGTGGTAAGACAGTGTGTCGGAACTTTTAACACGTTTGCCTCGGAGTTGCAAAACTATCTACATTGACCGCTTGTGTTAGGTGTGAATGTTAGAACTTGTAACGTTTAGTGCCAAACTGCAAAAGCAACATCAGCTTGGAGCTCTCATAAGTTTCAAAACACTCCCGTTGAGATTTTTCATATTTTGCACGGTTTTTTTTAAATTATGTGACTTTGTACAAGATCACACGGGAAATGCAATTCTTTTTTTATTTGCGACATATGATTTAAAATATTTAAAAATACAAGAATATTACTTATTTATTGTTATTGACATTATATATTGTTGCTTATTTAATTTACTAATTTTTTACACACGCGAAAAAGACTTTTATAAATGAAAGTAATAAATGAAAATATCAAGTACCTCCCCCTCTTCTAATTTAAATATGAAAAGTAAGAATAATGATTGTCTGTTAAACAATTGAACTTTGAAATTTCACTATTTGCAAGAAATAATTAATTTATGTCAATTTGAATTGATATTAGTCGACTGAAAGAATTTTGCAAAATTAAAAAAAAAACGTTTTTTAATATTCATGAGAGCGAGTATTATATGATAAAATCAGTATTCAAATGATATCAAATGTTATTGAATATTTTAATATTTCATCAAGATATTTCTAATTAAACTTTTATCCGGTCGATAAAACTTATTACTTTAATGAATCGATAACGTTAGCAGCTTCTCTTTTTAACCAGTACAATAAATAAAGGAAACACACCATCGTCTCAAAGATAACCACGTAATTCTTTTATTTTCTTTCTACGTCTTTGTCTTCTGATTTTGCTGCAATTTTCAGCAAAGAGGAGATTACGAAGACCGCAGTACTTGGAGAAAACCTTAATGGCAGTAGTGTTGTAATTTTTTTGTATATGCATTTATCTTCGAGATTCCCATTGGATTCGTTTTATCTATTATCCATTTTATTATCTATTTTTATATTTATTATCGCGATTCAAGACAACTGACACTCCGAAGATATTTTAAGAATTATGCACACCTTATAAAGCATTTTATCGGTTTAAATCACGTTTAAATCGGCTTGCAAATAGATTATCTCTGACTATACCCGGATACAAAGCGCATCTTTATTCGCGCGGAATTGCATTTAGTACCATTGCTTCCTGTTCTCAGAATTGTGTGCCCTACTTTGCACATTAATAACACCCGTTTATTCACATTATATTCTATCATTATATCGTTATGCATAAAACTGAAGTTGTATTTTCGCAGATAATCACAATCAAATATACGTATTTACGATAGTATAAAGAAAGACGCTTAATGCTATCAATCATGTTTATCGCGTCAATAAATTAATATTCAAAATCGAAGATGCAAGATATCATCGTGCGCATTCGCGTATATGAGTGCTTTTTTTTTCCTTTCCGCGCGTTACATGTATACCATTTTTTTCAACATCAGCTTCCCCTCGTCGCGAGATCCCTCGAAGATACGTTCGCGTATCCACGCCCGCATTTCATCTCGTTTTTTTTTATACGTATGTACACTCGAGGAACGCGGCGAAGCGAATAAGAGAACGAAGAAGAAGACGGCGAAATAGCCGGGGCGGAACGTGTCGGTTGTTTCACCCTCCCGCGTTATCTGTGAACGTGTGTGAACGCCGGCGAGAGGAACAATCTCTAGTACAATAGCATTGTGTACCATGTGTGTGTGTGTGTGTGTACGTGTGTGTGTGTGTGTATGTGTGTGTGTACCGATAGGCAGCGGAAGAATTTCGGTTAGATAGCCGACTGCTAGATAAAATGAAATTACGTCGCGACCTCGGAGTCGGAATGGGCAACGGAATCCCCTTACCGCCTCTGTTTCTGGGTCGGTGCCGCTCCGCCGAGTGATTTATAACTTCCGTCTGCGCGGATATTTCACGTTCAGTGGCACACGACGGTAGCGCGGGCGAAACCGTTTGACCGTCTGGCCGGGATTCCACCGACGGCCGAGAACGGCCCGACGGCAACATCTTGAAATAACGAGCGCGGGACGCAGCCTCCGGAGTCCGGAGCCGTCCGGCGGAGCCGCTCCGATGATTACTGGCAGAACTTTCGGTTTACATTTCTTCTCGATTAATGTCGGGTACCGCTATCCCGACTTCGCTTCTTAGCGAGTATCGCGTGGGAGGGTGGAGTGGTCGTTTTTAATCTATTACGTCTTGGACATCGATAGAAATGACAGGGACAAAACTTTGGCGATTATTTGATAATCTTTCCGTTAAAATCGAGAATTTCAATGGAAATAAATATTTTTGAATACACGCGAAGAAAATACCCTGCACATGAAGAATTTGACATAATAAAATATAATCACAGATTTGCAAATAATTTAATAAACACTTTTTGTGATAATATATATATTTTCTCAAAAAAATAATGTGATGAAAACTATTATAAAATTTATCTTATACTGCAATATCACGTAGAGTGCATTCTTGCAAGAGAGACCCACGGATAAATCGTTTAATGCATCTCTCGTGGATTTTTCTTGAATATTTGAATGCGAGGGTAAATTGAGAGTACGCATTTTCATATGTTCTCGGGGGGATCCGGAAAGAGCTTCGCCGTCGATTTCGGGCCAACAGATCGGTCATCGTCGACTGGTTGATTTAAGAACTGTCCAACCGCATTCGGGTCACATTC